GGGGGAAGGGGAGGAAAATACTGGCACCCCTTCTCTCCTCCGCCGCCTTGAAGTAGATTTGAGGAGCTGCCTTTCCTCCCACCCCCACCCCCCTTCCCGCTGGTCCTTTGGCATCTTCCAGACCATGTCCACTGGGTCCCTCAGTGATGCGGAAGATCTGCAGGAGGTGGAGATGCTGGAGTGCGATGGCCTGAAAATGGATGCTAACAAAGAGTTTGGGGTGTCCAACGAAAGCAACGAGGAGGGATCCAATGGCGAGAACGGATCCCCTCAGAAGGCGAGAGGGGCCGCGGGCAAGAGGAAAAAAGCTCCCCCCAAGAAGAGCCCTTTAAATGGAGTGAGCCAAGAGGGAAAGCAGGTCCAGAGAAATGCTGCCAACGCCAGGGAGAGGGCGAGGATGAGGGTCCTTAGCAAAGCCTTCTCCAGGCTTAAGACCACCCTGCCATGGGTGCCCCCAGACACCAAGCTTTCCAAACTGGACACCTTGAGGTTGGCCTCCAGCTACATTGCTCACCTGAGGCAGATCCTGGCCAATGACAAGTATGAAAACGGCTACATCCACCCTGTCAACCTGGTAAGTCACGGCCCGCCAGGGCCAGGCACTCGGGGTGCGTGTGCATGGGGAGAGGTGGGAGAGGAGCTGGGATGGGGTATGTGCGGGGAGAGACCTTTGCTGTGCTTCTCACAGAGGTTCTGGTGCCAGTGGGGTGGAAAGAGGTACCATGCAAGAGGACAAGCTCCCAGCTACCCTCCCACCCTGTGCCCAGAGAGCTGAGCCTCCCGGGCCCCATCCGCTGCTCCTGGCAATCCTCTCCAGGGTACAAGCAGAGGTCACGCTGGCCACAGATGAGCAGGGACTGTCCTAGAAATGCCTGAGAAACCTTAACAGGTTGATGGCAACTTTCTACCTGCAAGCGGGTGGGTATAGAAATTTATGTGGAGAAAGGTATGTTTTAGGAAGGACCCAAGCCAAGGACCCAGGATTTATTCTTATCCCCCCTCTCTATTCTTACATTTCCTGCCATAATAATCCTCAAGCCCCAGCTTTTTGAAAACAGAGCTCTTGGGGTTCTGCGCTTCTCCGCTTAGATTTGCTGGATCCAAGATATTTCTCTTATCCATCTAAACTGGCAAAGGATGAATAAATACCAGTGTGGACTTCCCCAGGGGAGGTTTCTGCTCCAGGCACACTCTGCAAAGCCTCACTGGCCTGCATGATGTCCCTCCTGCTGCTCCCACCACCCACAGAAAGTGTTCCCCAACAGCCTGGTGGTCTCCCTGCCATCCCCAGCCACCAGAAACATCCAGTTTTCATGTCTAAAAATATATGCAACTGATGCAAACCGGAGGGGGAGGGGGGGGGAGGCTGTGGCGAGATCCGCCTGGGTTCTTTTTCAACAACATTCAGCTTTTACATGGCCCATACATACAGACTCTGCTAGATAAAAGGATGTAGAAAGGATCTGGGGACGTTTCACTGGGGTCTAGCTCTGCCTTTTAAGCCCTGGACCCGCGGGTAAAAGCACATTACCCGCTGTGACAGCTGATAAGGGCCTGGGAGACTTTTTTTTTTGCTAAACCCAAAATCCTCAGCACAACAACATGGGGGGGGGGAAAAAATAAAGTAAAACAAAACCA